GGGACAGCAATGGCACATGAATGCTAATACACACTCCAGGGCTCACTGTGGACAAAAATGTCAATGCAAACATTCCAACTTATCCTTTGTTTTGAAAAAGTCATTTGTTCTGACATATAATCTTTCCTATTTGGAGATAAAATATACTCTCTTTCATGAAATAAGGGTTATAATAGGTGGGAGTTTAATGTACTTATTTGTCAAAATAAAAGGTCAAGGCCAGGCTCAGTGGCTCATGCCTGCAATCCTAGCACTCTGGGAGGCTAAGGTAGGTGGATAGCTTAAGCTTAGAAGGTTGACACTAGCCTGAGCAAGAGTGAGACCCTGCCTCTACTAAAATAGAAAACTAGGCAGGCATTGTGGTGCACACCAGTAGTCCCAGCTACTCAGGAGGCTAAGGCAAGAGGATTGCTTGAGCCCAAGAGTTTGAGGTTGCTGTAAGCTATGATGCCACAACACTCCAGCCAGGATGACAGAGTAAGATTCTGTCAAAAAATTAAAATATATATATAAATAAATAAAATTACAATAAAATAATAAAAACAAAATAAAATATCAAAAACTCAGTATCATGGCCAGGGATGGTGGCTCACACCTGTAACCTTAGCACTCTGGGAGGCCCAGGCATGTGGAATGCTTGCGCTCAGGAGTTTGAGACCAGTCTGAGCAAGAGCAAGACTCTGTCTCTACTAAAAATAGAATATTACCCAGGCATTGTGGCGGGTGCCTGGAGCCCCAGCTAGTAGGAAGGCTGAGGAAAGAGAATCACTTGAGCCCAAGGGTTTGAGGTTGGTGTGAGCTGAGACACCACAGCACTCTACTCAGGTTGACAGCTTGAGACTCTGTCTCAAAAAAAAAGCTAAATCTTTCCTTCTATTTAATTAATTTAAATAGCTACAAGTGGGTAGTGGCTACTTTGTTAGTGTAGTTTTAGGAACTACTGAGCTAGGGACTAAAAAAAAATTTTTTTTTCTTTTTTTAGAGACAGAGTCTCACTTTGTTGCCCTTGGTAGACTGCTGTGGCATCACAGCTCAGAGCAACCTCCAGCTCTTGGGCTTAGGCAATTCTCATGCCTCAGCCTCCTGAGTAGATGAGACTACAGGTGCCCACCATGACACCCGGCTATTTTTTGTTGCAGTTTGGCCGGGGCTGGGTTTGAACCCCCACCCTCAGTATATGGGGCCAGTGCCCTACTCACTGAGCCACAGGTGCTGCCTGGGACTAAAAAAACTTTAAAGCCTTTAGGAGTCCTGAAGGTCATGAGCAATTCTCTCTCACTTTGTAAAGGTCAGAGGTGTTTCTATGCTTGAGGTAAAACAATGCAACATACAATCATATCTGGCTTTGTGGCTTAAGATAACCGTGGCCAGACAAGTCATAATGGGAAGCAAGACACATGTTGTCTGAGTTTTCAGGCTCCTGTTTCTATTGTTCTTTCCTCAATTCTACTCATTTATCTCCCCTCAGAGTTTCTTGCTTTCTGAGCCTCATGTCGCTAAGGAAATAATCTTTGAATTACTGTGCCAGTCCACTGTACCCTCACACCCTGTTCAGATGGTGGCATAGTATCAGCTTTCCCTTTGCCTTTACTGGAATCTGGTTTGGGGTGGCGAAGGGTGTTCTCATACAAACTTTACCATATTCATTACAATTCCAAATTTTAATCTCCAGCATGAAGTTTCTGATGTCGAGTAAGTGCTGAGCTGTGCCGAAAGGATTTCCCACATTCAACACACTCATACTCTCACCAACCTACAGCTTCTAGCAGGTCATGCATGGAGTCTTTCAGCCAGGAGAAAAGGCAGATAGGATTTTTCCAGGCCCAAGACCTGGAATCCTGCCATTGGTCCCACAGTCGTTCTCTATGTTTAACATGATTCAGGCATATGTGCTCCCAGAAACTGGAGAAGGGACCACCTAGTATTATCATTAATTTGAACATTTCCTTAGAGAGTGGCATTGTCTAGGACAAGCCTGGTCCTTGAAGTTCCTGGTGGAGAGCTGACATATTCTTCAGCTATAAGATGAGACCCTGAACTTTATATACCTGTTGTTGATTCCCTAATCCTCCTATACCTGGCCATAACTTCTCTTGCTACTCAGCCCATCACAGCCTCTATTTTGTCCAGTGCCTAGAGCCTTCTTAACCTGCAGTGTGGACCTCAGAACTCAAAATGTCTGTCCTTAGAGTGCCCTGACACTCTAAATACTTCCTAACCTTCTTCTCTATCCCTACACCCATCTGGCTGTGCCAGTCCACTGTACCCTCACACCCTGTTCAGATGGTGGCATAGCATCAGCTTTCCCTTTGCCTTTACTTCTCCCTGAGTCATCAAGTCAATCTGGGGCTCTGGCACAACTGCAGCAGGATTGTCTGCCTCCCAGGAGAATCTCTGTAACACTCTGAATGGAAGCTGGACTTGGTAGAGTGGAAACTGCAATAGGCAGGGCAACAAGTAGAGCTAGCTGTTGGTCAGTGGCATCACATGCTGTCAACTGTGAACTCAACGTCTCCTACTCCTTTAAAAGACTACCTTTAGTGCTGTGCTGCTAGAGTTCAAAACAAGTACAGCCACATCCTCAACGACATGCTTATGTTCTCTTATATTTTATCCCCTCTGTTTTCATGTGCCCACTTCTACCTGCCACCTCCCCACTGCTATCCCCCCAAAACACAAAAGTACCACAATCTGAAGTTTTATTCACTGTTAGTCAGGTTTCCCTTTTCATGGAAAAACGAAACCTAGAGCTTAAAGTCAAATTAGTTCCAAAACTGGGAAGTGTCCAAATCTAAATAAAGATCTTGAGGGTATCCAGAAGTATACTTCACAGTGTTCACTTGTATCCCAATCATTTCCTTTTTTTCTGATTTAATCCAAAATTTCTCAAGGCTAAAACAGTCTTCAATTGAGGAGAAGCTAATGCTTCTCCTCTTTAAACCTAGGCATTATAGTTTAAATAGGCTTCTGCAGCTACAGTATAAAATCATACCCCAGTTACAAGAATGTTCTGAAGGAAAAAAAAAAAAAAAACAGGAACCAAAAAAAACTAATGTCAATTTGCTTGTTTTTAATGAAATATTTACATATTTTTATAAATGTTAAAAAGCAGTTAACTGTCATATACAACTTTTATTCTCAAGGCAAATATAAGAAACATCCCTATTCTTCTGGCGGAGAGTGGGGAAAATGAGGTTCAGAAATAATAAGGTCACACACCCATTAAATGTCAGAGAAGGCATCAAACTTTAACTAATTCAGAGGTCTATTTCTTAACTATTTTAAAATGCAAAATATTCATCCCAGCTGCAGATTGAGTGTTAAATTCCCAAGAATCTGGTTTGGGGTGGTGAAGGGTGTTCTCATACAAACTTTACCATATTCATTACAATTCCAAATTTTAATCTCCAGCATGAAGTTTCTGATGTCGAATAAGTGCTGAGCTGTGCCGAAAGGATTTCCCACATTCAACACACTCATAAGGTTTTTCTCCAGTATGAATTCTGTAGTGCTCACTAAGGTGTGCTTGCTTGCGGAAAGTTTTTTCACACTCACTGCACTTAAAGAGTTTCTCTCCAGTGTGAGTCCTTTCATGTTCAACAAGGGAAGAGTTCTGAGTGAAGGCTTTGCCACATGCAGCACACGTGTAGGGTTTCTCTCCTGAATGAGTTCTCTGATGCTGCACGAGGCAAGCACTCTGATTAAAGGCCTTCCCGCATTCTTTACACTTATAAGGTTTATCTCCAGAATGGCTTCTCTGATGACGAGTGAGGCAGATGCTCTGACTGAAGGCTTTGCCACATTCTGCACATTTATAAGGTCTTTCTCCAGTATGAATTCGCTGGTGTTTAATAAGGGATGGGTTCTGACAAAAGGCTTTTCCACATTCATTGCATTTATAGGGTTTCTCTCCCGTATGAATTCTCAAATGCTGGACAAGGATTGCTTTTGTTTGAAAGGCTTTCTCACATTCATGACATTTAAAAGGTTTCTCCCCTGTATGAATTCTCAGATGTTGAGTAAGATTTGACTGTTTACGGAAACAAGTTCCACATTCACTGCATACATAGGGCTTCTCTCCTCTGTGAATCCTCTGATGCTGAGTAAGAGATGATCTTTGAGTAAAGAATTTTCCACATTCACCACATTTTGAAGGTTTCCTCTGTATGTAAACTCTCTGATGTTTCGTTTGGAGTGAAAACTGGCTGGAATTCATGCTGCTTATAACACACTAAAGGAGCTTCTGTCAGATAGATTGAGGTTGAGATAAAACCTTTCTCAAACTCATACTTACAAGGTATTTTCTCAAAGATGATTATCATTAAAATAACAATGTTCTCCTGGAAAAGGCTTGTGTGTGTGTGTGTGTGACTATAAGTGCACATGTATGTGCTATCCTCTTGATAACTCTGCAGAACGTCCACTCCTATTCCTTGTGCAGCTTGCATTTTTACTTTCTCCAAAAGTGAACCCCTGACGATCAGCCTCTCTGAAGAAAGAGATTAAATAGTGACAGGTCTTAGGAATTCTATAAAATTCCTTATCATGGCTGATTCTGAAATAATCAAATACTAAGACCTAATCCAGGTAATCTGAGATCATCCATATTTGCATCCCTAATGATAAACAACAGGAAAATATGAAAAAGTTAAGTATAATAGGTCGGTGGCTCACGACCCACCTGCAAGTAGGCTGTTTACTCCAGACTGGCTTGAGAGGCTTACAGGAATGGCCTCCTCAGATCTGGAACAATTATGCTCTCATGTTAATGAAAAGATTGGCAATATTAAAAAAAACCCTGTCATTAAGAAGCTATGGCCAACAACCTGCCTTGAAGACTATATTAAATAAACTAGGAGATGAGATCAATGAACTTCTAAATAAATTGGAATCAGAAATTCAGTATCAAGAACAAACCAACAGTTTGCTCAAGGA